TGGCATGGAGCATTATCAATGAAAAACATGATTTTTCTTTTTTGTTTTTTTTTTCATTGATGCATTTAAATTTGATAACCATTCGGTAAACATATTGACATTCATCCACGCTGACTTGCTCGTCGGTCAATCTATCGGAATTGACATTTAAGTCTTTAAAGCAACGTGGTCTTAAACTTCTACCTGTGAGGAAAAACAAAAGCAAAGTTATTAAGTATTCAAGCATGTAATAATATTTAGAAATATCTAAACAATAATTCTTACCGATTATTAAAGGCTTCAGCTTCTCTTCACCAGTTGCATTAACACCAAAAAAAATAGTAAAACGATGTTTTGATTTTTTTTACCACCTTTACAATCTTCTTTACTTAATGTTAATGATTTATTAGGAATAGCTTTATAAAACAGACCAGTTTCATCACAACTGAATATATTTTTTTGCATCATATCCATTAATTAATTTTGGTATTCGTTGAATCCAATGATAAACAGTGAGAACATCCACAGATGAACTTTCACCACTAATAACATGATGTGAAATGTTATGTCTTGTCCTAAATTTTTGTGACCATCCGTTAGATGCTTTAAATGAACCAAATGTATCATCTAATGATTTAGCTATTTCTCACGCCTTCTCCTGCAATATTGGACCAGAAATAGGTATTTTTTTGCACGTTGCTCTGCAAACTATTCATAAACTTGCTCGTCTAGTTGTTGTGTATTGACATCTTTTTATTTTCGTTTAACATTTTGATTTTGATTTGTTTCATAATGATTTAAATATTCTGTTTTACGTTTTACAATATTTGATACAGAACCAAGTGAGATATTATATTTTTCTGCTAATCTACGTTGTGATAACCCATTACCATCTTTATTATCATAAATTAATTGTATTTTTTCTTGTAAAGTAAGTTCATGTCGTGAGGCCATTCCTCACTTCACATGTACAACAGTTAAATGATTCAAAAAATGAACTTAGCAGAAGTGCAAAAGCAGTAGATCACAGAAAAAAGAAAGAGATCAAAAAAACATATTCACATTAGAGAGGTTATAATAACATAAGGACCCGCAAAAGGGTGTTCACTGTTCAGAGGTTAGAGATGCTCACTAGTAGAGGTTTTACTGTATATGTATAAAGAAAAAGAAAAAACATGCATCTACATGTTAAAAATTACTATATAATTCATATAAAATTTAAAAATAAAAATATCAGAACTATGAAACTGTATTACTCAGAATTCTAACTTTAATCTTATATTCAAGTCCTATGACTCATAGATATATATATATATATGTAAAATTATTAAAACTACGAAATTTTTCAAAAAAAGTCTATTTATATTATGACAGATTTTTTGAATGTTCTTGCTGGAAAAAATAAATGTAAGCTCTAAAGGATTGGATCTTGAGCATTCGTTCAATTTGAACGGCCTTCTCAATATGATGCTAATCATACTAAGTCTATAGATTTTCGTAACATTAGACACTTGAAAACCAATGACCATGTAGAAAAACGGCATGAATATAATGTAA